TTGTAGCATTATAGATGTCTTCTGCAATGAAATACAAAGCTCCCCTGATAATTATGTATTTTGTAGCATTATAGATGTCTTCTGCAATGAAATACAAAGCTCCCCTGATAATTATGTATTTTGTAGCATTATAGATGTCTTCTGCAATGAAATACAAAGATCCCCTGATAATTATGTATTTTGTAGCATTATAGATGTCTTCTGCAATGAAATACAAAGCTCCCCTGATAATTATGTATTTTGTAGCATTATAGATGTCTTCTATGGAGTTTGTGAGTATTGTTTAAATTTTTATCTACTTTTGGTTGTTTTAAATTAGAACTTTGTTTCATATCGTATGCACAGTGTTTGAGCCCTGCAAGAATCTGTGATTTTATATTGCATGACTTTTTATTAATTAAAGGACGTTTTCAAGATTAGTTACTGCTAATCTTCTTCTGTGGTATCATAATTAACTAGGATTTGGGTAATATTGATTTAAACTTTTAAAATACTTGTATTCTCTGTGCACACACATACTTTGTATTTTAAATGTTCCTGTTATACTTGCAAGTAGTGACTTGACAGACATAATGAGAAGGTTTTTCTTTTATGAGACTAGAAATATTTGGAGAAACCATCTTGATTTTGTCATGTTTTTACATGTATGTTGCAATAACGTTTTTAAACTTTTAGGGTAGCTAGAATTAGTTTTTATTGAAAAGAAGGAAAGTAGTTTAAAACTAGATTTTGGGTGTTGTGTAAAACTGAAAATTGCTATTAAAAGATATCCAGTATTTTTACATTGAAATCTTTTAATTATCATATATAAATTTAGATTTTTTTCATTATTTTTATGGAATATTGAACATCATATTTACATAAACTTAACCAATAATTGAATGCTTCATCATCAGATATTTGTAGAAATTAATTTTTTTCACCACAGATATTTTTTTGTATTTCAGGTTTTTGTCAGTGCTGTTGTGAGTGTGACCCGTTGCATAGTTTCTATGACAGTGAATGCAGCAATGTTTACTGGAGACTTGGTTGATAAGGTACACATTAAAAAAATGATATATTGTGTGATAAGTTAAATATACAAGTCTTATTAAAGTTTTTTTAGAAGTGATAGAGCATTAATTTTTGTGTAATATTAAACATTTTTAAGAGTGTATAAATCGACAATTCTTTCTTCTGGCTTGAAACTAAGAGATGCTGGACTTCAAAGCAAAGTTACGACAATGTTAGAACTTCAGAACTTATTGGAACATGATTTGGTAAATTTATTCGATTTCACTGTTAGATTGGAGTTTGTTTTTTTTAACTGTTGCCATTAACTTAGTAAGTTTTGATATCTTGTTTTTCTGAACATCATTAATTACAGTACGTGCTTGATTATAAAGGTATACTTGATACAAGTTTGTTTGTTAGCGTGTGATTAACATTTGTTTATAAAATTTAGTTTACTGTACATGTTATAACCAAGGTTTTATGCCAAGTTTTTAGATAAATTGCCATGTAGGACATTTGCCAGGGCTATAATATGCACTTGCCCTAAATATACCCATCTCTAGTTGTATTAATATATTGAAACAAAAATATTTGCTACAATCACGGTAAATTACACATCTGGAAAAGCAGTTTCTGACATTCATAATTAAATACTGTTAAATGGCAATCGGGACATGATGATGATGATGATGATGATGTAACACATTTCCCTTGAAAAACCTAAAGCTCACAGTAATAGATGATGCACAGAGCAGTACATAAATGGATTAGTCTAGTAAGTATAAGGTATTGAAAATTTTTATTGTGTTTAATGGTTCTTTTAAATGAAGGTAAGAAATGATGATTTCGTATTGTGTTACTCACTTGTCCGCAGAACAAATAGCTCATGTCTTCTGCTACTGCTGAAAATGTTGTTGCTGAATAATCAATCTATTTAATGACCTTTAATCCCTGCATGCAATAATGTGTACTGTGATAGTCTACAATTCAATTATCATTAGATGATACTTCTCCAGCAGTAGGAGGGCAACTTAATGATACTCTTCCACCAACAGGAGAGGAACTTAACGATACTCCTCCAGCAGTAGGAGGGCAACTTAATGATACTCTTCCACCAACAGGAGAGGAACTTAACAATACTTCTCCAGCAGCAGGAGGGCAACACAACCTCGTTGCATACTGCTGCCATTTAGCACTATGTGTAAACCAAAAACTCGTTCTTTTACTTGGCACTAAACTATTTGGATGTGTTATTTTCTTGGGCCTTCTGTCAAATAAAGATTCTTTTGTACTATGCCTAACTTTTAAATCTAAATTAATTTCTGTTGCAGCTTCTAATAAGAATTATCTTGGGAGAAGCGTTCAAGAAGCTTTATGGTTTCCTTTAAGGAAATATTGTCCATCATCATTAATTATAAGAATTGGTTCTGGTAGAAGCTGATAACCAGTTTGTTTTATCAAAAGGAAATAAAACAAACAAACAAAAAAACAGGAAAATATGAAAAGAAAGAAAAGATTAAAGAGAATTAATAATAATATTAATAATAACTTCAATTAATCTAGATTTATGGATCATATTGAATATATATGTTTTTAAAGCCACCTGAGTTCCAGAAACTCCTCAACAGGAGATATCTTCATTGAAGGCTTCAGATACTCTGATGGTGAGCAGTGTTATTATCATTGTACTGGTTCTTCTATCCTCTCAGAACCAGGACTTGTGGTCCTGCTTATGCTGAGCCTTCTGCCACGTCGTTGAATGATTTTGACCAGTTTCTTACAGCCTGTCTTTACTTTCTGTTCTTTTCCAGATGTGGATCAGGTAACCTCCACATCTGTCCTTTACCATCTTATAAATCGGGTATCTAATATTCTTTCTCGTACTCCAGTTTGTAAGGAGTTTTTTTATAGCCTTTCTAATCTGTCTTCCTCTTCCAGGCTAGAATCTCTGTAGTTCTTGGGGCTCTCAAAAGTCCTATGTTCAAATTTTTGGTGTTTCTTGTATCATTTTTATATGAGTGGATGTTTTCTTCTTCTAGTTCGTAGATATATAAGAAGCTTCTCTCACATTTTTCACATGAACAGATTGATTTTATTTCCAGACTGCTCCTTCCTTCCCAGTATTTTGGTAATCTGGGAGGGTAATTGGATGTTTTCTCCAATCAATTTCTTCTGTACAGCTTCCTTTGTCTTCTGTTACCTCACTTGCACATTTCCCTTTAGAAGCAATCAAAATCTTCATTTTCTATCACAAACTTCCTCTCCTCCTTCCAATTGGAATGGATGGGTTGAGCAACTCATCTGGTTTGTCCATTCTGCTGTGGGAGATGAGACTTTTTGTATTTTTAATTTCACATCCCATCGAGTTTCATGGCTTCTCTTGTCTTTGGTCATTGATGCCCTTTGAATGGAATCCTACCATCAGATGTGGATGACCCCAGACACCTTTAGGTTGCATTACTTATATCACAGTGTGGTTTCATCAGTCACCATTCTTCCCAGAGGTTCTGAGAAGGTATTTTTTATACAATATCTACACAATCAAAAAAACCTTAAAAAAAGGAGAGTCAAGAGCCCACAAAGTACCTGTGTTGCCTCACAAGGAGTACTTCTCTATCCAAAAACCTGAATAATGAAGTGTTCAGCCCATCTACCCTGGCTCAATGGCCACTACTGAGATAATTTTTTTTTTTCACAAGCTGCTTTTTTCAGCGTGTATATATTTACCTTCCAAGCTGTGCTGGACAAAATAAAAGAAAAAGCAAGTTAATCAACCAACTAACAGGATAGCTCATGCTGTCTATTCAGGGGATCCAATTCCATGGTCTCTTAGTGAAAATTCTTACTTCACCAATAGCAGTCTGCTTGTGGGGGAGGGGAGCTATATGGATAGTTCACCTTGGGAGCAGTTTAATACTCCACTGGTATGAGACTGAGTGGACACACCCATTGATTGGAAACAAAGCAGGGATGTCGATTTGGAAGAGTAGTACAGACCATCTCCAACAATTGGATGATTCCTGGTGGTTGTGAGCAGCTGGGATTCTCCTCAGGAGGCAGTTCAAGCATGATATCTCTGAACCTGTATATTCTTGTAAGTATTTCATTTAAATATTTCTCACACACCATGTGGCTTGACATATTGCTCTGGCCACACACCATTTATATGGTCTGATTAGCCCTGGGATATATATATATTGTGGTTGAGTAGCCTTCACATTTTACCCACCTTTGTGACGATTTAGCAAAGAAATAAAGACTACAGGAAGACCTTTTGACCAACCACTTGGTTTTGGGGGAGACACTTCATGAGATTTCCCCATTCTGATTCTATAGTTATAGAAAGGAATTCATCTTTTGTTAATTACTTTCTTTGCACTGATTCCTCCACCATATTTTCAATGTGGAATTCTAGCTGTCTGTTCCGTAGAGATTTAAGTATTGTTGTTTGAAGTTAATATTTTCCCTTTCTGAACATGTATTTCAAATAGATACCACAAAACCACCCCTCTTTTGTGGTTTCTTTACTTCTTCGAGAATGAGTTTTGGTTTACACAAGGGAAGTACAGTGCAAGTAGGTTGTGTCCCCCTCGTACTTGTGGAGGGGTATTGTCTGATGTTCATTATATCCTAACATTAGCACAAGATGTTATTTTGTGCAGTATTAGCTCATTCATTGGCTTGGCACATATAGAAAAATGTTTTGGCAGTAGTGTCAAAGCACTAACCATTTGTTTATGTAAGAGGTGAGTGTCTATCTTAAATACATTTGCAAGTATGGAAAATTTCAACTTTTTTTTTTTTTCACTTGACTGGTCTCACTTGTAAAGGTTTGGCAATTGCTTACATGAGCAGACTTTCCTGGACGGTTTGCCGACTTGTTAACATTAAGCACTGGTAACTGATAAATACACTTTAAATAATAAAATGTTACTACGTAAATATTGTAAAGACCTAAAGCAACTAAATTTGAGAGGGTATTCTTGTTAGTTCTAAGAGAAGTTGTAGAAATAACAAGAGATTGATTTAATACATTATTGTTTTTTTAATATAAAAATCTGACAAACATGTCAACTTCTCGTATGTTTCTTTCACTACGAGGAAAGAATATATACGATCAAACCTTGTATAATGCTCACCCTGCACTAAAGCAGAAAAACAATATATATTCCACATTTTTAACTTCAGTTTACGTACAGAAATAAAAATAAGATTTGTTTCTCACAGGTCCTGTGGGTAGTTGTACGATTCTCTCTTCTTTCAACAGAAATCAGTGTGCTTATATTTGGATTAGCATTTGGTGAGCATAGTTCAGTGTTAAGTTTGGTCAACGATCTCTGTAACTAATTTTAGGTTTTAAATCATCCAATTATTTTCCCCACCTACTGTATATGTAAAAAAAAAAGCTTAATGTTTAGTTTGTAGTTATTTCAAAAGTTGCAATTTTATGTTTGTATGAAAAGTAATAACAATATAATAATTAAAAGTTGAAATAAACATTTTTTATTTAATTATTTTGGACCCTGACATCGTCTCCAGCTTTTTACTAATCAATTATTAAGACTTCTGATCCAAAATGTGTTCAGAACTAAAACAATATTAAACTGAGATACACAAAGTAAGTTGTCTAGAAATATTCAGTATGCCAGAGAACTAAAATGTGCAAGTCCAAAGTAACATCACTAGGCTTGAGATTGTCTTGTTGGGAATTGTGGGTATATTAAATGCTGGAATTTTAAAATAATTTGATTATGTCTCATGTAATTGTGGTGAGGTAATTTAATCATAGTTAAAAAATTTTAACAAGTGTCCCGGAATGTGAGCTTCCAATTGGTTCGATATTTATAAGTGGTAATGCTGTACGTTATTGATAATTATAACCTGGTCACAAATGTATCAAATTTATCCATGTGTAGGACATCTGGATAGTAACACAAGTATCAGGCGGGTTCTGTTTGTCACGTTTTTTATCTCGTTGGCCTACTCCAGTACACAGGTAAGTTGCTTATGTTGTAATTCCTAACTTGTAGAGTCTGTAATTAATGAGAATAAATCTGTGTGATTACCACATTGATTTTTAGATCTATTCATTACCACATTGATTTTTAGATCTACTCATTACCACATTAATTTTTAGACTTACTTGTTACCATGTTGATTTTTAGATCTATTCATTACCACATTGATTTTTAGATTTATTCATTACCACATTGATTTTTAGATTTACTTGTTACCATGTTGATTTTTAGACTTACTTGTTACCATGTTGATTTTTAGATCTACTCATTACCACATTGATTTTTAGATCTACTCATTACCACATTGATTTTTAGATCTACTCATTACCACATTGATTTTTAGATCTACTCATTACCACATTGATTTTTAGACTTACTTGTCACCATGTATGATTTTTAGTTTTGATTAGGTAACTTACTCTTGTTGAAGTAATATTAATCAACATTTTTTTAGCTAAACTGATGAAATTATATCTTTAAGTAGTGTAATATTAGTTAGTTGTAAATATTCCTACTTTTAAGTCTCATAAATTACAAGTAGGTCTAAATATCTGAAATGCAAAGTTTTATCTAGGCCTAACTTAGAAGTAAAATTATCCCCGTTTCCAGTTACAAATAACCCGTAATTGTCTCATACTTGCAATTAATCAGTTTTGTTTACCCAAATATAATTAACTGATACTTGATTAATTGGTCTTTAATCTGATTAAATTATGTGAATGAAACATAGATCAAAAAGCATCTAAGTAAAATTAACTTTATATAATGTAGAATAGATCTAAAAATCAACATGGTAATGAGTTAACGTTATTCATTCCAAACAACCTAGCATGACTCAGGTGAATTTTGAGTTTACTGGTAAAGAATACGTTTGATTTTTCATTTTTAATAGTGAAATTTCATTTGTTTATAAATTCTGTACTTTTGTAATAAATTTCATTTCAAAGCTCAAAACCAGAAATTGAACTATTAATTTTCATATCTCTATTCTAGTAAGAGTTAAAACTTTTTTATTATTATTATAACTACACTTAGTTTATTTAACACACTTGCTATGGGCATCCTTATGTGCACGTTATCAGGTTTTAGTGGGTTACATTCAAAGTTTAATTAAACTACTTTCTTATCATGATATACATATATATTTGGCATAAAAACATAGCTAATAATACAAATTTTAATATTATATAAGTCTTAATTTCTTAATTTTATAAGGTAATATTTAAAAAAATCCTGAATTTTCCCTAATAACATTTTTTCTCTGGGTCTCTAATTTATTTATCATCTCTTTTTGAGAATTGTATATTTCACTTTCAGTTCAAACCTTGTTCCCACGGAAAATACACCGAAGAGCTTAGCTGAATTTTTACTGGCTCTTGTCACATAGTTAGAAAGCCAAAAAAAATTGTGATAGTTAGTAACATTCTCTGCTTTTTGCATGTTATTAT